TGCACTACTGGGTTCAGTAGGATGCTTTCCCTTTGCATTGAATTCGGAATTTTCCGATGTAGAATTTCCAAAGCAGTAGTTGTTGCATGAAATAGCTAGCTATTGTGTGGTAATGAGTTTTTTTTTTTTTTTTTAAGTGAATCATGCCTCATTAATTTCATACAAAGTGTGCCTAATATTCTATACATATGTTGGTGACAATTTGTATATCTGAGTTGTGCTGGTTTCTCAGCATCAAACCAATATTTATAATGTTTTCCTTGATGGCACAAAACAAATTAATAAAATGAGAAATTAAAAGGCAAAAATAGGAAAGAATAAGAAAGTACTTGGCAAGCAAAAATTGTACTTTCAAAATAGTTTCGGAACAACTTAAACATGAAGGGCTTTCTTTATAGGGAAGGTGTTCTTCACTGTGCTGTTAAATAAAATATTCAATTTTTGGTAGTTTAATATTTTTGTGAGCAAATTGAGTCAAGAAGTCCCAAAGTAACCTCTCTTGAATTGGGTAGTTCGTAAAAAATATTGAATGTTAGTGTTTGTGTATATTCATGCGAGTATTAGTCGGCCCAAAGGAAGATTAATATTTGGCCGAATTGCATACACACTTGTAATGATAAACATGTGATAATTATAAGGATTTGCTTTGTCGATGATAAATCAATCCAAAGACTGGTTTATTGTTGGACGTGCTTTATTGTCAATGTTTGATCATTACAACAAGATACCCTTAGCAGTTAATATCATTGTCCAAAGACTTGATATTGATGGTGCATTGGGTGTCTCGAGATGGGTTAAACCATTATTTGAATATATATTTATAATTATTTATAATGTGAGCATAATTAGTTTATTTCTTTTGTTCTAATCCAGCTACAATTGCTTACATGTATCGCCAATTTGAATTATGTTTCAATCCTCAATGGAACAAATTTTAAGGACTGGAAATGGAACATTGATATTATTCCTGGCTGCATGGATATGGATCTTGCGTTAAGGACTGAGCAACCCCCTACTCCTACGGATTCAAGTACCTCTGAACAAAAGAGAGATTATGAGAAGTGGAATCGCTCAAATCGCATGAGTCTAATGATCATTAAGCGCTGCATCCCAGAGGTGTTTAGGGGCACTGTTTCTGAAAATATCACAAGTGCCAAAGAATTCCTTTTTGAAATTGAGCAGCGCTTTGCAAAAAGCGATAAGGCGGAGGCAAACACTCTTCTTCAGAACTTGATCTCCATGAAATATCAGGGCAAAGGAAATATCAGGGAGTACATTATGAGCATATCTAATATTATTTTTAAACTCAAGGCACTAAAGCTCGAACTCTCAGAAGACTTGTTCATTCATCTGGTGTTAATTTCTCTTCCCGCAACGTTTAATCAGTTTAAAGTATCTTACAACTGTCAGAAGGATAAATGATCTCTTAATGAGCTAATTTCACATTGCGTACAAGAAGAGGAAAGACTAAAGTAAGACAAGACAGAAAGTGCTCATTTTGCAAGCACCTCCAAGGCTAAGGGCAAAAGAAAGAGATCAGAGGATCTCAAGAAAGAAGTTGCTAAGGGTCCAGAACAAAAAAAACAAACCCAAGAAAATAAATGTTTCTTTTGCAATAAGACTGGACACGTAAAGAAGAAATGTGTTAAATATCATGCTTGGCGTGAAAAGAAAGGTATGTTTCTTACTTTGGTCTATTCTGAAGTCAATTTAGCGTTAGTACCTATTAACACTTGGTGGTTAGACTCAGGTGCAACTACTAACATCAGTGTTTCTATGAAGGGTTGCCTAAACTACCGGAAGCCAACTGATTCTGAAAGATGTATATACGTTGGAGATGGAAAATCGGTGGAGATGGAGACTATTGGACATTTTAGATTATTATTGTGTACTGGTTTTTTATTTTAGATTTAAAAGACACTTTTGTCGTGCCGTCTTTTAGACAGAATTTGACTTCAGTTTCTTATTTGGACAAATTAGGTTATTTGTGTTCATTTGGAAACAATGAGTTTAGTTTGTCTTTTAATTCAAATATTGTTAGAACTTGTTCACTTTTGGCTCATGATAATCTATATTTACTTGATATTATGGTCACCTATAATGAAACTCTTAATACAGAATCTCGTGGTACTAAACGTAAAATTGACAATACTCACTCAGGTGCATTATGGCACAGGCGCTCAGGTCATAATCTAATTGTGGCGCTTGGGCTTGTGTTACACTCTTAAAGATATGGTAAGGAGTATAATTTGTCATTCTACCTTACCAGAATCACTCTGGGGAGAGACACTAAAGATTGCAGCTTATATTATAAACATAGCACCAATTAAAGCAGCTACCAAAACACTTTATGAGCTTTGGACTGGGCAAAAGCCTAGTCTGAAGCATTTCCATGTGTGGGATTGTCCAGCTGAGGCAATCACACACATAACTGGGCAAAGGCCTTATAAGTCAAATGAAAAGAAATTGGACTCCCGAACAGTAAGTAGTTACTTCATTGGTTATTCTGAAAGATCTAGGGATATAAATTTTATGACCTCACATTAAAGACTATTTTTTAGACGGGAAATGCTATGTTCTTTGAGGATATTGAGTTTGGGGGGAAGAATAAGATTAAGAATTTTGTATTGGAGGAAGAATCGAAAATAAATCCAGAACTGATTCAAACAGTTACTTTTGATAAATTAAGTTCGGAACCTCCACAAGACATTGATGATGAACCTCATATTCAAGATGATTTGATTGTTCGTCAAGACCAAACTCAAGACCCTCAAGAACCTATACGTCATGAGCCGGGGATACTCCAGTTACTAAGGGAAACAAGTTTAGTCTAAATTAGTACCTAAAGGGGAATTTGGAAATTGACGAAATGTATAAGATTCTCCATGCATCAACTATCGGGAGTTTGATGTATTCCCAAATATGTACGCGTCCAGACATAGCATACATAGTTAGGGTTCTAGGCAGATATTTAAGCAATCCAGGAATAGACCATTGGAAAGCAGCAAAAATGGTCATAAGATATTTAAAGAGAACAAAAGATTATATGCTCACATACAGGAGGTCAGACCAGTTGGAGACCATAAGATCAATAGTACTCTAAAAGGGACATTATCATTATGACAAATTCAGGTACGCTTTCGCATTAAGTTTACAGTATGTTTATCAGTATAAGATTATATTTATATTTGATCGTTAGAATGAAGATCATAATTAATTACAGTTTACCTAACAAAGGCAGGTCAGTCCACTAACGAACCCTTTGATAGGGTAGCCCAAAGTTTGCAATTTGTCATGACTGTAGTGACCTAACTCATCCTGTTTTTGATAGGTTAAAGGTGGGATAGATCAAAATTAGGCGAGTTTAACCCCTTTTGTCATCTCTAATTCTATTTATTCGTTTATATTTATGTATCTTCAGTTACATATTGGTCCTATTTATTTATCTTCTCCGGTCTTTTATTTTATCTTCAATTTAACATTAGTTCTATTTTATATTTCTTTATTTATTTATCTCTAGTTACATACTAATCCGATTTTATTTATCTCTAGTTATACACTCGGTCTTATTTGATTTATCTTCAGCTTTATACTTGGTCTTATTTTATATTTATTTATTTATCTTTAGTTACACATTGATTTTATTCAATATTTATTTATTTATTTACCTAGAATTATGCAATTGTTCTTGTTTATTTATATTTATATTATTTAATTATTTTAAAATTTTAAAAAAATTAATATTTATTTATGAATATTTGATAACATTGTATATGAAAGTTGAATCTTCAGGATTGAAATGAATAAATATCACTTAAAAAGTTATTAATTTGGCTAATTTATCCTCACTAGTGACTTCAATTTTAATTCAAATCTTCATAATATAAAATAAATGAAATATGTTGATAAAATCTAAAAATTAATTTTGTATATTATACCGAAATAATATTATTATACATTATATTTGTTCTTACTTTCCTATTTTCATCTTCTATGCATGTTACAACTAGATATATCAAACTTAAATAGATGTGTCATGCTCGAAAGATAAATATCAATAATAAATTAAAAACTTTCATATGAAAAAAATATTTATCAATTTTAATAATTTTTTGCTAATATAGAAACTAGGATTATCAACACGGCGACTCAACGTGACCTATATTTTAATATGGGTAAATTTTTTTGGCCTAATGTGACCTTTTGTTAGGCTCGGGCTACATACGAGTCATTTGTTGTCTAATTAAAAATAAATTTATATAATTTTTCTTTAATTAAAAAAAATGTCATTCATTTATTTATTTAAAATTAACTCATAACTTATTCAAGCAAAATAAAATCAAATATATAAAATCATAAAAACGAGGTGATATAGTAATGAAACCTTAAGTAGTTATAGTTGGTCCATAATTCAAATATATCCTACCGAAATATTAGATAACATGTTTTTTAGTTTTTTAAACACACTTTATACATATATGTAATTGAAGTTTTTTTAGTAATTAGTTTAAGATCAGTATTCAAAACTTTATTTTATATAGGTAAAATTTAGAGTCAAATTCATTACTTCAACAAGTTAACCTTATTATCATACATAACTCTCACGTCATGATATTTTGAAAATACATTACATTTAAAAATATATCATCTTAAATTATTAGTATTTTAAAACAAATGTGACGATAATAACAAATACGAAGAAGATGACCAAAACAACGAAAATTATATTTAGAGTTTATTATTCTTTCTAAATTATATATATATATATATATAATAAAATATATTATCAAATTAATTTATTATACTTATATATTTTTAATAAAATAATATTATTTTTATTTTATTAATAAATAATTATTATTTTATAAAACAAGTTTAGTTTATAAATTTACATACTAATTTAGCCTAAGCCCATTTAGTTGAACCAAATTTTGTTTGATTTTATTTAGTCTATAAATTTTTTTTTAATCGACCTATTTTTCTGGACCTTTCGAGTTAACTCATTGAGCTAAGCCTATTTTTACACCCCTAATAAAAACAATGTAACTTTGTAAAGTTTATATATTTATTCATATAAATATATAAATATTTATCTCATATTTTATTTTTATCAAAATTTAATAACAAATAATCATCTCTTAAATTAATAATTTAATAAAGAAGAAAATTATATTCAATATATATATATATAAGATAACTCATATTACTTTAGAAGCTTATATATAATATCCCTTGAACTAAAATTAGTATTTAATAATTATTATTTTGTCTTAAAAGACAAATAAATTTCACTTAAACATTTCGTTTTTAACTTAGACATATTTAGTCTCGTGATTGGAAATGAAGACCCTATTATAGACATTATATTTTCTTATGGAACTGAACAAAACTAAACAATATTCGTATCAATTAATATAAAAATATTAACATATAATTTCATCTCAATTTTTTTTACATTTCTTTTTTCTTTTACTTCTATCAATTTGAGTATTCTGTTTTTCCTTATAAATATTAATAAAGATAATTGAGTAATAAATAATGTTTTAAATAAAATAATTATCTTATTTTAGGTGTATAATTTAATTAAGCAATATTTTTATTTTTATTTTTATTTTTAATTTAGCATATTATGAAACTGTAATTAATTTGTTAATTTACTTTTACTTTTCAATTCAATAATTTACTTTTAATGTCTAAGTAAACCATAACTTACTTTTTAATTTCAGAAACAATGATTAAATTGTATTTTTTTTAAAGAAATTCAATGTTAAAAGTAAATTAGTGAATAAGAAATCAAGATTAATATTTTAAATAATAAAATTTATTGTTGATAATATATTGGTAAGGGTTTTACATTGTGATATAAGTTATTAACTATTGATATTTTTAATTTAAAAGTTAATTTATAAATGAAAATGAAAGGGATAGATTGGTAAATATAAGATATTAAGAAAGAATCTAAAATCTCTCTTGTAAAAAAAAATGTTTGAAAATCAATATCGTTGAATAATATAGTTCCTTCAAACAAAATTTATTCGAGGTAAATATTATAATATACGGTATATTGAAAAAGGTTTTTATAGTTTATAAACATGGGTTAACCCTTTTATTTCTATAAAATAATATTCTTATTCCTCGTTTTTTTTTCTTTTAAAACAACTAGTAATTTAATTTGTATACTCACATAAAAAATATTTACGTTTATATAAAAAATTTACAATAAATAAATAAAAATAAATAAATTTATAAATTGTATAATAATCAAAATTTCAGTAAATAATATTTTTTTGACATGTTCTCAAGGACAATAATTTGATCTTGGTTAGTATTTTGGACAAGATAATATTAGCTTTTGAATAATATTTATTTTAGGATAATATGTAATATGGGATAATATATTTTTATAACTTTATGATGTGTATAATTATATATATATATATATATATATATATATATATATATATATATTTTAAAGAAAATAGATATTAAAATGAGTGATTCGATTCAATCTTAAATAAAATAAGAATGGTAGTTTAACCTCGCGTATATTCTAAAATAAAGTATAATTTTTGGTTTAACCAAAAAGTAATTTTAACTTGATTGAAAATTAAAAATAAAATTATTAATATGTTTACATCAAAATATTTAATTTTAAAATTATTTTAAATAAAAAATTAAAATAAAGATTATATTTTGAAAATTTAATTATATTAATAAAATTAAATTTGATTTTATATAAAATAAATTTATATATAAATTATAAGGAAAAATATTATTTAGTTCTAAAGTAAGAATTAAAAATTTATTTTTTATTATCATTATTATTATTCATATTGTAGTATTTTATTAATTTAAAATAATAGTTAATTTTAAAGTAAATATTACAAACTTACTTTTACATTTGTTTCATTTAAAAAATAATTATTTTTGTAAAAATATCTAATCATAAATCTATAGACTAATCTAATCTAAATCAATATATGCTATAAATTAAATTGACGAAATTAAAATAGAGTAAATTTAGTTTAGATAATTGATTTTTTTAATATAATAAGACTTATTTTTTGAATGCTTAAGCCTATATTCAGAAATGTAATTTTATTAAACTTGTATTCAACCTTACCACGCATGGATTAAGTACAAAACGTTGACCTATAGAATAATTGACGGTCATATAAGATGGGTGGGAGTCAGTGCCGTGTTATCAGAAAGTGAAGTTAGGCATCAAGATAATAAAAGAAACATGTATGAAGCATTCATGTATAAATTATAGGCCTCAATATCTCTTTTCAAAATTTCTCTCTCTATATATTATTGATTATTTCTTATTCCTTCATTTATTTGTTTATTATCAATAATGTTATCCTTAAAATAAACCTATATTTCTAATATTTACAAATAATTCCAAATAGAGGCAAAACAGTAAAAATTCTCTCTCTCTCTCTCACACACACATATATATGTGTGAAACTTTATGCGAGGATGATTTTTTTAGAATTAAATATTTTATAAAAAAAAGTTCAAAAGAACAAATTATCATATCAATTGAAGTATTAAACTAGACAAAAGGAATGCATAGATTATTTATAGAATATTATGAATAATACGTGTAACAGTTGTTAGCGTAAAAAAAATTATTAAAAGGTTATGAACGAACTTAGCAAAAACGGGTTTAAGAATAGGAAAGCCTGAAACCCAATACTTAAAACAAACACTTTTTCACTTTGGGTTTCAAACCCAACCAACACCTTTCGAAACCCGTAAGGCAGCCCATTTCCGCCTATTTGTCATATAAATTAGTATAAAAATAATATATTGATGCTATAATATTTTATCTGTAAAATTAAAATTAAAATTAATTAAACTATGAATAAAATTATTTAAAATTTAATATATTTGAATTAAATTTAAGTCATATATTTTTTAGAAATTAACTCCAAACTTAAATTTCACATTCCTACCAATGACACGACTGAACCTTAGTTTGGTGACATTTGCACTTTGGTATCCATCACTCCAATTTTTGACCTGTCAACTCAACTAACTTACACAGAGAAGTTTGGTCCGAAATAAAACACATGCCAAATTTAACGTTTATAACATATACGTATTAAACTTCCATAAAATTAAAGAAAAAAATTTATTAAATATTTGCATAGAAAATTCTATAATAATTTTTTTTATCGTGAAGAAAAAATTTGACACCATAATATCGAAATTAAGGTGGAAAAAAATAGGACACGCATGAGTAGTGTTTCTGCTACGTGGCGAAAATATTGAATAAAATAACACATTCATAAATTAGTGGGTTAGAAATTATAGTTGCACAACTCAAGTTGGTTCCACCTGGAAAGTGTCATAACTATGGAGAAAGGTTTTCACTAAGAAAGAGACACGCGTTTTTGTGGTGATGATATGTTATAGGGTTTGTCGTATTTGGCGTTAATTTGTGCCATGGCTTGTCTTGGTTCATGAAAAGAGCTTGGTGTAGGCGAAGCAGACGAGACGAATATGGCTTGACTTTACAATGTTTTTGAGGCAAAGAAGGGTCATCAGTGATGGCTATGCTTTCCTAAAACATGGACTTACTTGAAGGAGAGGACCTAGGAACATTATTTGCCCTGAAACCGCTATTTTTAGGTAAAAAACGAGAGGCATAATCAAAACCCACATGTTCAACGGAGACAATGGCAAAACAATGGATAGGGTTTCGTAAAGTACGCTGCCTACCTAAAAAAACCATTCTTACTTTTTATTTCTTTTAATTTTTTAATATAATCAATATTTGTTGGCAGTTAGTTTGGATAAGATGATGATTATAATAATAATAATAATTATTATTATTATTATTATTATTATTATTAAACTATTTTTGTTCAAGCACCTTCTGATAATTATTATGTATTAAAAATTTATCGTTTTATATTATAAAAAAACTGCAACATCATAAAGATAGAGATGCATCATATATTTTTGTTCAATATATAATTCTTAATAAGTATATAATTTCTTCAAAAGTTTAGATCTTTCGTAATAATGTTTATAGGATGTTGATAAAAGTGAAAAACTTAGCGTAGTAGTTTTTTTTTTTCAACCCTAAAAGTGTCATGCATAATCTACAAAACGGAAACAAATCATGCTCACAACCTTTTAAAAGAATTCTAATAACTTCATTTGTTTATATAATAATACTTCTGAATTTTTTATTAATTTTTAATATTTACTACATTAATAGATAAAATTATCAAGATTTTGAAAAAACGGTTATATATACATTATAAAATTAAAGAAAGTAGTTAATCTCGAGACTGCATATTTTAAAACAAGAGAAAAAAGTGTGATGTAGGTATACTTTTAAGATAAGAAAATGCAGTTTAATTACTTTAACTAATATCATAAAAACTAAAAAGATTGAATCGTTATCTAAATAAATTAAATGTTGATGAACAAATGTCATCATTGAAAGTTGAAGAATTTCAAAAGTGATTAATCTTTCTAAAATAAAATATCATAAAACATACAATCCAAATTTGTCTCATCCATAAATGTTTGTCAAAATAAAATATTACAAGTTCATTTAAGAAAAAAAAGGTGAAGTTAAAATTAAATAAGTCCCCTAGTCAAATCCCAGAGCATCATGGTGGTGTTTATCTTAAATTCCGAAGTAGGTAGTACAATAATGGCACACAGAATATGGAAAGTGCGTATAAGAGAGGAAATGGTAATTAAGATCATGGTGCATATACCACGGGAAATGGTGGATCATGGTGCATATACCAGAAACAAGGACATCAAAGTAAATAGTAACAGTGCTGAGTTGAATATAATAATTGGATAAAGAAGGCGAAACAGTGGATTCGTTTGGCAATTATTAATCAGAAAACCAAACGCATAAGCACAAGGTTTGAAAAAGTTTAGGATAAGATGGTCCCTTTTTGAAATTGTTTATAGGATTATTCATGATGTTAACTCCAAAAATATTGTAAATTGATAGATTCATCAATGTCTGTCTATTTAATGGAGTAGGTTTTGATGACCTGATGTGTATCTGTCTCTATTTCAAGTTGAATATTGTCACACGGAATATCCTTATTAATAAAATCTAAAATAAATACATTATTTTTAAATATGTAATATAATATGTATGTTTTTAAAAGAACTTTTATAATAGGTTTAGATTTTGAAACATGACTGGGAAACCTTACAACTTACCATCTTATAATATTACATAAAACTTAAGAATATATATATTAAAATATTTATTCGATTGATATATTAACTTGTATTCGAAACTTCTAAATTTGTTGTTACCCTATATCAATTATATAAATTATAAAAAAAATATTAAAAAGCCAGTTTGGTGTAGGATAAAAACGGATAAAAATTGATGAATGAGTTCGACTATACTCTGATCAACGACTAACATTTTATGAATACAAAAGGAGACGATAAATAAAAGATTTTAATATCTAAATTTTTATAAAATCATAAATATATATTGTTGTTATCGGAATTTGAATAGACTATTTGAGCTTTTATTTAGGTAAGTATGTGCAGAAAGAAATTTGTAAAAGATTTTTTAATGTTTAAGTAAACACGTGAATGTGAACAAGAAGAGTACAAGTAAAAGAAACGAAATATTAGAATATATAGTGATTGATTACCGTAATTATTTGAGATAATAAACATATTTATCTTTAGATTAAGTGGATAATTTTAAAAGTTGTTTTTTAGAACTTTAAAATAAGATAGGCTCCAATGAGATATTTAGTTATTACTGATATACTTAAATATTTTTTAGATATCTAATCAGTATCTCACTATAAAATTATATACATATATGTTTTATAGTAGAAAAATGACATTTTGACAACATAAGAAACATACAATTCTCAAAATAACACACTTTTATTAATTTAATAATTATAAAATAATTTAATAAAAATAAAATAAAATAAAATTATTATTATTATAATATTAAAAGAGAATTGCTTTTTATGGATGATATGATTTTTGGGTATTAAAATATCATTTCTGTTAATATATATATATATATATATATATATATATATATTTTTTTGTTTATTATACGTATAAAGCCTAGTATATATATGAAAAGAGTTTAATTATTTTCTAAAGACTAAAATTACATTTTTTATTAATGTTTATATGAGTTAAGATTTTATGAATTTATCATCAATTTTCACTTCATATCACTGACCATTGATACAAAACTAGACTGAAAATTTGGAGGATGATTTCATTTTCATAATTTCTTTAGAAAAAAATCATGGGAATTTGGAGGGAATTTTATTTTCTTATAACATTACTCCAACCATCTTAATCATATAAAATATTTTGAGAAATTTATTTTAGTCCAATACACATCTAAAAAAAATATTTTTAACGAATTTAGAATTTATTCTGCGCGTGTTTATATTTTTAGACATATTTTTTCATAAAAAAAATAAAATTACGCATTTTTCATTAAAGCAAAGTTAACTCCTTCGTGTATTTAGATTGTTTGTTTCTGTCAAATATTTCAGTAGTTAATTTCAAAATTAATTTATGCTATATAAAAAGTTTGTTTGTGTCAATAATATAAAAAAAAAAATTTATGCTATATATGTTATGCGTATACAGAAAAATTTTAGTGTAATTTCTTTATTTGTATTGTCCATTTTGTTTTTACTAATTAGTCAACTTAAAATATGACTGCAAATTATTTATACCACTTAGTAGTCAAAAAGGTCATAAAACGAGATTTAAAAAAAAAAATATCTGATAGGATTACATTATATATTTTAACATTTTACTTATAATAACAATATTTTTTTATCATCACATTTTTTTATTACTTTGCTATTTCGTTATATATGTCACGAAAGTACATTTGCATAAACATATTTTAAACATTTATATACCTAATATTTTTCATTATTTATTTAAGAACATAATGTCACAGCAAGTTTATATTAGTATACACGTCACCCACCTTGTTGAAATTACAATCAATTAGTTATTATATATATATACACACAAAAATAAGAAAATAAAACTCAAATTAAAAATATAATTAAAATTCATAAATTATTAAACATGACTTTTATTTGTAAAATTAAATTAGATTTACATTTATATTTTAAAATTTAAGTCAATATTTATTCTACTAATTATTATAAAGTTTATTTTCAATTTATCAAATTATTCATAGATTTATAATCTCATATTTGAAATATTCGATTGAGAAAAAAATTGCTCGATATTTTAATTGTTTCGTGAAAAATATAAGCAAATTAACATATTAATATAAAATTATAATAGATATTATTATTAAATAGGTTGAGTTAATATTAATATAACCTTCTTTATTTTTAGAATATAATTTTAGTACTTAGTTGACTGATAATGATTTCACTTTAAATTTATGTAGAAAAGGAAAAAAAGTTTTTTTTTATTATTAAAATAATTTAAAACAAGCCAAACACTCTTAAACAGCTTCGGATGGCTTTGAAGTTTGAAAAAAAAAAATTACATTAAAAATATCAAATAATATCTCTTCAATTTTAAAAACCTTAATTTGAATTTTAAAATTTTATAGTAATTTTAAATATAAAAAAATTAGATGATTTTTACATCATTATTGTTACTTTGACGTATAGTCATTTCAAAAAAGAAACTAGAAGAAAAGGACTCAGTCAGTAGTTACTAATTATATAAATACAAAGTTTATTAGATAGTATAGGGATATAAATATAAAATATACTCATTCAACGACATTATGGAGGAAAATAATGAATGGTCGCCACGTACACACTCATCCTTGCTTTTCTCTTCACTATATAAATAATCTCAGCTCTAATAATGATCCATACAACTTTCTTTTTATTCTATGTTTTTCCAGTTACAATTGCAAACTATAAACCCAGTTCGATTCAGTTTTGCAGTTAAGTACAACAAATTAACAGACATTCACACATAACAATTGTGTTCGTCATGTCTACGCAACCAAAGCTTGGTCGGCTTCCCAGTATCAGAGACAGAGTGGAAGACACTCTCTCAGCTCACCGGAATGAACTCATTTCTCTCCTCTCCAGGTTCTTAATTTATCAACTCTACTGTTTTAATTAATTGATATTTTATTTTTTATGTGTTTGATGCATATGCTTAAGTATATGTCTCCTTCATATGAGTTTTTGCATGTTGTTTTTGTTTAAAGGTATGTGGCTCAGGGGAAAGGGATTTTACAACCCCATAACTTGATTGATGAACTTGACAAACTCCCTGGTGATGATCAGTCAAGAGTGGATCTTAAAAATGGTCCCTTTGGTGAAATTATCAAGTCTGCACAGGTATGTTGCTCATCGTAACTTTGGTTTAGATCAAATATATATAATTCTAAGAAATGTTGCCATTTTTTTTCAATATTTTTTAAGATTTGAAAACATATTTAGTCTAATAATAAATATTTTTTAAGGCAGGAACTAAACAAGTATGCTTTTTTGGTAATATGATAATCTCTCTTTAACAATGTTTTTGGAACTTCTTTTCAGTTTCTGAAAAGATTAATTATTACTTTAGATGATTGAAATAAATACAAAGTGTTGGGGAACCTTGATTTATATCCCAAATGATAAGGGACTTGATAGTGCACATTTCCACCAAGGAGATATATGTATATTTATATTTATAATCCATTCACAACAAATTGCATTAAATTGGAATTTAAGTGTGCATGCAATTGACCTGTCTGGTTGACGAAGGTTAGGAAGATTTAAGATACGGTATGAAAATGTGTAACATTGTGTCTGTGACAGGAAGCCATAGTTTTGCCTCCTTTTGTGGCAATAGGAGTTCGTCCAAGACCTGGTGTTTGGGAATATGTCCGTGTTAATGTCTCTGAACTCAGCGTGGAGCAATTAAGTGTTCCTGAATATCTCAGCTTCAAGGAAGAACTTGTGGATGGAAAGTAAGAAATATACTGCTTAGCTTTCATTAGAAATAAACTCTGACCCTGGACTGTTTCTGAACTTGGTTACTCTTTCTGTGTCTAATTTGTGCATTAGGCATAATGACAATTTTGTACTGGAACTTGATTTTGAACCATTTAATGCCTCATTTCCTCGTCCATCGCGTTCATCGTCCATTGGCAATGGTGTCCAATTTCTCAATCGCCACCTTTCATCAATTATGTTCCGCAACAAAGATTCCTTCGAGCCCTTGCTTGATTTCCTCCGAGCTCACAAATACAAGGGCCATGTAAGTATGTTCCCTTATGTTATGAACTTCAATAAAGTGATTATGTTACATGACAACACAACATCTATAGTTTCAAAATGAAACTAATGCACTTCTCTCTGAATGACATATATTTCTTTAAACTGACCAGTGAGTACTCAATGTCAGATTTGTATTTTCTGGTGCTAGTACGAGGAATCAATAATTATGGAAGTTTTCTCTCCCTTGTTGTTCATGTTACAGGCTCTGATGTTAAATGATAGAATACAAAACATTTCAAAACTCCAAGCTGCTTTGGCCAAGACTGAGGATTATCTTTCTAAGCTTGCACGTGAAACACCCTATTCAGAGTTTGAATATGTGTAAGCTTATATTTGATAATGGGTTTACTTGTATTGACTTTGCGATATGGATGTTGTGAGAATTTTGTAGGACATTTTAGTTTAATTTTGTCTTTCCTTTCATTCTTTCTGAATGTAGATTACAAGGAATGGGTTTTGAGAGAGGTTGGGGTGATACTGCTGAAAGGGTATTGGAAACCATGCATCTGCTACTGGATATTCTTCAGGCTCCTGATCCTTCTACACTGGAGACTTTTCTTGGCAGAGTGCCAATGGTATTCAATGTTGTTATATTATCTCCTCACGGCTTCTTCGGACAAGCCAATGTCTTGGGTTTGCCTGACACTGGTGGGCAGGTATCTCATTTGTCATATGCTGAAAAGAATAGTTGAGCTGGATACACATATGTTGTTTCGATGCCCGCTCTTTCTAGTTTTCGTTTCCCTTAGTTGTTTCCATCCTTTTATCTTATATCTTTATATATCATACATGAGAACCATCCTACATGGTAGGTTTTATTTGCAGGTTGTTTATATACTAGATCAAGTGCGTGCCCTTGAAAATGAGATGCTCCTTCGGATCAAGAAACAAGGACTTGATTTCACTCCTAGAATTCTAATTGTAAGTGTAACTTTTTGGTCTGTTTTTTCATATTGATAAGACTGTTATTTTTTAGTTCAAATCACAATAAAATTTCTGCTGTTCTGAAGGTTACCAGGTTAATACCTGATGCAAAGGGGACAACTTGCAACCAGCGACTAGAAAGAGTCAGTGGTACTGAGCACACTCATATTTTGCGTGTTCCATTCAGATCAGAGTCAGGAACTCTCCGAAAATGGATTTCAAGATTTGATGTGTGGCCTTATCTCGAGACTTATTCAGAGGTAAAATGACTATCAACTCATATAGTTTGAATTGTTCACCTGATCATGAATCATTATTGTGATTTAAACAATTTCTTTGCTTAATTTAGATTTGTTAAAGTTGAGTAACTCAATGTATACTGCACGTGCTAGCTTTTCCATTTGGTATCGATGGTTATGTATGTCAACAGGATGTTGCCAGTGAAATTGCTGCTGAGTTACAAGGTTATCCTGACTTCATCATTGGAAACTACAGTGATGGGAATCTTGTTGCATCTTTATTGGCTTATAAAATGGGAGTTACACAGGTTCTTTTCCCTCTTCATTTTTATCTTATTTTGCCTTTCTAAAGGTGAAAGCTCATGTTATCTACTGCCGAGAATTCACCTTAAATTGATTTGAATGTTCATGTGTAGTGCACAATCGCCCATGCACTTGAGAAGACAAAATATCCTGATTCAGATATATATTGGAAGAAATTTGAGGATAAATATCATTTTTCATGCCAGTTTACTGCTGACCTAATAGCCATGAATAATGCAGACTTTATCATCACCAGTACTTACCAAGAGATTGCAGGAACGTAAGTATATTTTTCATGATATAAATAGATTACTTTACTATTTATGCAATGATAATTCTTGACATCGCTTTAAACCTTTCTCCCCTTTATCACATGTCTTATTGATATTATCAATTATATAGATCCAGATTTATTATGATTTTTGGTTATGTTAATGCTACTCATTTCATTTTTTTAACTCATATTTCAGGAAGAATACCGTTGGACAGTATGAGAGCCACACTGGTTTTACTCTTCCTGGGCTGTATAGGGTTGTCCATGGCATTGATGTTTTTGATCCTAAGTTCAATATTGTCTCTCCTGGAGCAGATATGTCAATATATTTCCCCTACTCTGAAAAGCAGAACAGGCTTACATCCCTACATGGTTCAATTGAAAAGCTATTGTATGATACTGCGCAGACTGATGAATACATGTGAGTCTATTTCAGTTGCAAAACTTCTACATCAATCCGTATCTCCATGTGCAGTTGATCTTCTGATTAATTTAATAATTCTGCCTTTACCATCTATGCTCTAAAGGATCAATATAATGAAAGTTTACTGAGTTGTCTGTTATGCATCATGCAAAAACTTTTAAAAATGGTCCATCAGCTTGCACTTTCAAGTAGTCACTTGTCCTTCAATACTGATCCCCTGTTTGAAAACCCACCCAGACCTCCACACCCTGATTCCTATAAGGGAAAAAAATATTTGAAGCTGTTTGTAAGAGCTCTTAAGATGTGTTTTTGTGTTTGTGCATGTAACAGTTAATGAGTTTTATCTTTGTCTCTATGTGACAGTGGATCACTGAAAGACAAGTCAAAGCCAATAATTTTCTCCATGGCAAGGCTAGACAGAGTGAAAAACATAACTGGATTGGTAGAATGTTTTGCTAAGAACTCCAAATTGAGGGAACTGGTCAACCTTGTTGTAGTAGCTGGTTACATTGATGTTAAGAAGTCCAGCGACAGAGAAGAAATTGCAGAAATTGAGAAGATGCATGGTCTTATGAAAGAGTACAATTTAAATGGTGATTTTAGATGGATTGCTGCCCAAACAAATAGGGCACGTAACGGGGAGCTGTATCGCTACATAGCAGACACACAAGGTGCTTTCGTTCAGGTACTAAAATTATCCTGATAATCTCTTTCCCATTTGATTTAATCGCTCAGGCATTTTTGTAACTACTACTATACATTTCTTCAGCCTGCTTTCTACGAAGCTTTTGGGCTCACAGTTGTGGAGGCCATGACTTGTGGACTCCCCACATTTGCTACTTGCAATGGTGGTCCTGCTGAGATCATCGAGCATGGTATATCAGGATTCCACATTGATCCTTATCACCCTGATCAAGCTTCAGAGCTATTGGTTGACTTCTTCCTGAAGTGCAAGAAGGACCCAAGTCATTGGAAGAAAATATCTGATGGTGGTCTTCAAAGAATTTATGAAAGGTAGGTAATCTTGTAAGAACTTTGTTTCTTTTCTTGTTGCAAATGCTAAGCTAAGCAGAAAACGAACAGGTACACGTGGAAGATTTATTCCGAAAGGCTCTTGACCTTGGCCGGAGTTTACAGTTTCTGGAAATACGTTTCCAAATTAGAGAGGCGTGAAACTCGACGATATCTTGAGATGTTCTATATCCTCAAGTTCCGCGGTTTGGTGAGTCACATCACTTTTGTTCATGCAGGATTATGAACTTTATCATCTTAAGCACTGCCAGCATTATTACATGGTTCGGTCCAATCACATGTTTATTGTCTCCCAACTATCTTCATGTGACTTTTCAAATTGCAACAAAAATATTAACATGTAGTTACATTACATGTCATGTGGAGATTGTTAGGATAATGGTGATCATAAATCATGCAATACTTTGTTTCTCATATATACTATCTATTGTTCCTTAAATAAAAAGTAAAGCTTACAAAAATCGCAACTTTCACTAATTTGCAGTCAATAATGGTGTGTGTTGTGATGCTGCATTTTTCTTACATGCATCCTTAGTTCTTACAAAAACATTTATAGCATAATTTTTTTGCCTTTTGTTTGCAGGCAAATTCTGTGCCGCTAGCAAAGGATGATTGAAGTTAACTATTATCTAGATAGTTTCACCGAGCTTAGTAGGCATAATAAGGGTATATGGAAATAAAAGTTTGCTTCTCGTGTTCTGGACTCTTGTGATGTGATGCGACCCAGAGGAGCTTCATGGAAGACTTGTCTCTGTTAAGTTTGATTATGTGAGAGATGGTGAGCACTGCCACTGGTTGTTGAATTTAGATGTCTCTTATTTTCGTTTGCTTAGTATTTGCCAATGATCTAAACCTGGAAATTACCTGTGTGGACTGTGATCCTCAGCGATGGGTAAGAATAAAGCATTATGAATCTTAGAACTAGTGATCCTCGCTGTTGGGTGGAACACCGCATGCTCAATGTTCTTTGAGAATCTTAAAGTTTGAAAACAGCACTTTTACCATGATGAACACCGTATAATAAATAATAAAATACTGCAGTTTGATATTTTTAAAATCTTAAAATTGAGTTATAGTTAAATATAATTAAAATTTTAGAGTTAATATATATATTCAAATAATTTCACAAAATTATTTTAAAAATACTTTCGATCAGTGGATTAGAATTTGTTTTAACAGAACCAGTATAATTACTTTTTAAAGAAAAAAAAGGTTAAAATCATTTTATACGCTTCAATTATCTTCTAAAAATAAAGAAACTTTTAGTGAAATTTATAAGCAATTTTTTATTTGAGTTTTTTAACCGTACAATAAAATTTACGTAAATTTTATGAAATTATAGGTATTTTTAAAATTCTTGATTTATATGTCTAAAAATGTATATTTCTCCTATTAAGTTCTTATTGATAACGATGGTCAAAACAAATTCCAATGAATATTGGTATAATGAAAAATATACACGGATTAAAAATAAAAGTTATATTTGAATGATCTTAAAATATATATTTAAGTTTTCGTTTATAAAAAAATAATTTAGCTGTAAAATAAATTTATACTAAAAATAAATTTTATGAAATTAAAATAGTTCAGACTTCCAAAAAAAAAACAAAGTAACGAAGCTTGTACAAAAGCTATGTATGAATTGACGATGATTTGACATGACAAAGTAAAATAAGAAATTTGAGTAGTTACTCATAATAAAATATATTGCAGATGTTCTTGTTCTTAGGGTTTAGGGTAGCCAATGCAAAGGGTCATTTGTGTGAGTCAGAGTCAGAGTTGAAGAATGTCTTTCAATCTTTGGAGAGAGAACTAACTCCACTACCACCCTTTACTTTTGTTATTTCTTATACTTCACATGTCACACAAGGTACCTCTGGTGGTGTACTAGGGTTAAGCAGCTTTTCAGACCCTATCATCCACATTTCTCTACATCTCCATATGTCACTCCATCCTAAAATATTTTCTCTGTCTCAAGCTTTCAACGGTCAAAACTCGTTCTGCGCAACCCAGTCAAATATATATCATATAATATCACGTATTTTCTTTATCATATCTTCTTTATTCCCTTTCATTATTATATATATCATATAATATCCTCTGCCACAGTTTTATTAACAATGGATTACTTCCAACTTTTAAGGATTAAGCCCTCTGTTTAAAGCATTATTATATATTCCGTTTCGCCTCTCGATGTGTACATTCTCACACATTCCCACCCTCAAATTAGTTTTTCTTTTCATACTTTTTGAGTTACTGAATCTTGCAATAACCGTCGTGGAGAATCGCACAATGAATCAAGAATAAGTGTGTAATAAAACATAGACCTTCTTCCATTAAAATCAAAGTGGGGGAATTAAAAGCTTAAACTAGTTAATGGTACACACTAGTTCGGTTCCCTAGAGTTGACCAAAGGAGTGTGCGAGATACGCAAGTGCTCCTACAAGAGGTGCGTTGATGTAAGTAGCAGGTTCTGATTGCTCGTAATCTGACCGTTCATCAGGGAATCGATCATTCAGATCCGGTCCTCCAACAACGGCACCCACTAGAATGTTGGGGTTGGGTGACTCTGAGTTCATCACACTGAACCCTGCTGAGCATTGGATCTTCCCAGGGTGAACACCAATCGACGGCAGCGATGAGCCCCTGTGGTGAATCCTTCGCGGGAACCGTGGACCATACCCCACCATGTAGGACATCTTCAAAGGGTTCTCTCCTAACAAGTAATCCACCTTGAAAATCACAATAAATCAAGATCAATCAGAATAAAATCCACATTTTTATAACACAGAAAAATATATTAGCACCTAGTGATGATGATGATGAGTCGCATGTTTCTGTACCTGTTTTTTGGCTATAGCCCGTAGTCTCTTAGGAGTCACTGTGGTTCCACCACAGTTCACAACCACATGGGCTTTGGTCAAGTATTTAGCGTAAGTTAAGAGTATGAAGGAGGTGGAAGTCACATATTGCATATTGCTATCACCCATCTTGAACAAAAGTCCACCTGCGTTAACGAAAGGTAATCTTTACACTGATGAGTAAGAAAAGAGAAAAAGAAAAAAAAAGGACAAGGAAGGGAACCTTACCTGGGGTGAATTGGGAAGAGGAGGAACCAGGGATAACGGAACAGATAAAATTGTCTGCGTGACCCTTGTAGTCATGCAGGGATTGCACCTTCCGAACAAGAAATTCCTAAAACCAAGAGAACAAAGATGAGTTGGAAACCATTATTGTTGTTACAAACCCTGCTAAAGAAAATGAATGGATTTTGGACCTTAGAAAGCAGTATTCTTGCTCCAACATGCTTGTTATCCCATCCAAAGGTGTTGTCAGAATCTGCAGCCCCAAGGGTCTGTCCATTAACTCTAATGTAGGTTAGGTACATTGGGTTCTTAGTAGCCTTGTGAAGCCAAGCAGCACCCCACAATAACTCATCCTAACATACACATCATTCAGAAACAAGTGCTTACTTTCTACAAAAATGCAACAGAACTTTGCTTCCATCCCATTAAAACATTAGAACATTACCTGATAACCAGAGTAGGAGCAGTAGAAGGGGCACACTACGGACTTCAAGCCATTGCTGTACGATCCCCTATATTTATCGGCAAATTGGAAAACCTATATCCATAAACAAGTATAACATCACATTTTAAGCTTTAGTTGAGAGAACTCCGTTACATTCAAAGCATTGCTTTCATCTCAAATAGAGCACATACACGAATAGCCCTCCTAACCAAAGTTTTGGAATAAGCTGGGTCAGTTTTCTTGAAAGCCAGAGAAGCAGCTGCAAGAGCCGCAGCAGTTTCTGCAGCGACATCTGAACCAGGATTGCTTTTATCTACTTTAAAAACACTTCTTGGTGTATCCATGTCCTCAGGTCTCTCCCAGCAAGCGTGGTCCTTCTCGGCATCTCCCACCTGAAAAAAACCGTACCCATTAACCGCACTTTCCTTGCTTTCTCCGTAGTCAAGCATTTTGGCGTAACGACAGAACATGACAAAGAGTAACAAATAAAAGAATCTATTAGGAAGAGAAGAGAATAGAAGACTAACCTGAACATAAATGGTGTCTGGATGAGCAGTTGCTTTAAGAAGATAATCTGTGCCCCAACGAATGGCCTCTCTAGCATTCTGCAACTCACCTTTCATCACCCCGCCAAACTCAATAACACTCCAAGAAAGCATGGTGGTGGTGAAGGCCATGGGAAAACCAAACTTTACATTGTCCCCAGCATCGTAGTACCCTCCAACCAAATCAACCTGCATTGTACATTTAAGCCAAAATAAGGAAAGTGCACAAGCAAAAGAACAAAAAAACTGAGACTGAGACCAAGACCATGGCTGTGGTGTTAACAATATCATACATTCATGGCCGAGCCATCAGAGAGACCAGAGTCCCTCCTCCAAGACATCCTCTGATTAGAGGGGAGCTTCCCTGATCTTTGGCCCTCAAAAAAGATGATCGATTTTGTGAGAGCATCTCTGTAGTTGTGTGTGGCAGAGTGAGGGTGGTGGTGGGAATGGGGAGTGAGGGAATGACAAAGGGTGGAAAAGACAGAGACAAGGAAAAGGAGACAAGAAAAGAGAGAAATAGTCATATTGAACTGCCCAAAGTAAAATTAGAAAACGAAACCCAACCCAACCATCAACAAAACTGCAACTATCTCTTGCTCCTCATGTATCTATTTATAAAAGGCAAAAGCTGCCTCTGCAACGTCCCTGCTTGCTCCGTTACAACCCAACAATAATTAGGTCCACATCCTAATCCTACAACACCACCATTTTGGATTACTTCTAAACTGAAAAACTACTGCAAACCCTCGATAGTAGTGTAATATTAAACCGATTATCAAAGGTTCATTTTAAGAAACTGATTTCAAGGAAAATCGAAATCAATGGGAACTTTCATTAAGTAATAATCATGTCCTGGAAAAGAATCCTATATCTACAATTTTCTCCCGAACTATACCACAATAACGACTGATGTATAATGGAAAATAATCATGTCATGTATCAAGTTAATATTTTTAAGCGGAGTTAGTTCTATACTTGATTTACCACTTAATTTTGCTTTTCTTGTCAACTTGAACTGTTATACACAACAGGGAAACAAAGGCATTAATTTTTTGTTTGTGGTTCCCGAGAGAGTTTTAACCCACAACACGAGTGGTTGAGTAGTAGCATAGGAACACAACTGTTTGTGTGTGAAGAAATAAAATAAAAACAAGTGCACGGTGCTCGAACGCGGAAAAACTGTCGGAGAAAGGTGGTGAAAACAAGCATCACTTCGACTTCACCAAAACGTCCAGGAACCATTTTCACTAAGGCCCATGCATAATAGTTTGGAACTTACATATACGCAAAAGTATGATTCCATTTGTTATTATACGTTGTAAAATAAATTTAATTTAAAATATAACATACTTTATAAATAGATAGTTAAATTTAGATTCTTTCAAGAAAAGCATGATTGCAGAAAATAGGCCTTAACTAAGGATGTAATGTTGGAAAAACAATAATAATAATAATAATAATCTTGATTTTGATTCTAACAATCAAACATAAACATAATCCCATACTGATAAACATGTCGTAAACTGAATGCGAAAGC